ATAAATTTTGAAATTTCTATTGACATGATTTTTTTGTATTGAATATGAATAGGACCTCTGCAAGTTCATAATGGCTGCCACTGACGATGGTTTGAAGAAGCTCGAGTACCTTTCCTTGGTTTCCAAGGTCTGTTCAGAGCTCGAAACCCATATAGGGGTTGGGGACAAAGTTCTGGCGGAGTTCATCACTGAGTTGGGACGAAACTGCGAGACGGTGGAGCCAAATTAAAGAAAAACGGTGCCGAGATGCCCGATTACTTTGTCCGTACACTCCTCACTATCATTCACGCTATCCTTCCACCGAAGCCAAATCCAGAGAAGGACTCGAAGAAAGAGAGCGGTTCTGATGGTAGGAAGACCAAGTTTAAGGCTTTGGCAGTCGCCGATAATAAAGATAGAGTCAAGGACATCGAGAAGGAAATTGAGATGGAGACCAAGGAAAAGCGAAACAGAAGAGAAGAACAAGACGAAGAGCGAGAAGAAGATAGGCGTAGAGGTAGTGATAGATACAGGGAAGGAGATAGAGATAGAGATAGAGATAGAGATCGAGATAGACACAGAGGAGGTAGAGATAGAGACGGGAGGGAAAGGCGAAGGGAAAGGTATGATAGAGATGAGAGGCGTAGAGATACACATTATAATGATGATGGTGACGACCGGGGAAGGCATACAGATCGATACAATAAGCATAAGAGAGATGGGTATGAAGACAATGGAGATGTTAAGGAAGATGGTGATGATAGGAGAGGTAATAGGGATCAGCAGAATGGCCAGAACCATTCGGATGAGCCCGAATTGTATCAGGTTTATAAGGGCAGGGTTGCGAGAGTGATGGACACCGGTTGCTTTGTTCAGTTGAATGATTTAAGAGGGAAGGAGGGTCTGGTTCACGTTTCACAAATGGCAACTCGGCGAATTAGTAATGCTAAGGATGTGGTGAAGAGGGATCAGGAAGTTTATGTGAAGGTGATTTCAATTTCAGGTCAGAAGTTGAGCCTTTCGATGAGGGATGTTGATCAACATACAGGGAAGGATTTGCTCCCCTTGAAGAAGAGCTCAGAGGATGATGCTCTTAGGACGAACCCATCTTTTTCAAAGGATGGACCTGTGACTAGGACTGGTCTTTCTGGGATTAGGATTGTGGAAGAGGATGATGTTGGCCCATCACGCCGGCCATTGAAGAGAATGAGCTCGCCAGAGAAGTGGGAAGCCAAACAGTTGATTGCCTCAGGTGTTTTGGGTGTTACAGAGTATCCTATGTATGATGAGGAAACCGATGGGATGCTTTATCAAGAAGAGGGAGCTGAGGAAGAGCTTGAGATTGAGCTCAATGAGGATGAGCTAGCCTTTTTAAATGGACAGAGCAGGTATTCTATTGATACGTCACCTGTGAAAATCTTTAAGAATCCAGAAGGGTCACTAGGTCGTGCAGCTGCTCTTCAGTCCGCACTCATTAAGGAGCG